CCGACCCTATAAAAACCCTCCGCTCCAGCCCGGGGGCGCGCCAGTCTCTTGAGCTTCTTGAGGGACTGTGTTGCCCCGGGTACCCGTGTTCCTGAATAAAGCCTCTTGCTGTTTGCATCTGACTTGTGGTCTCGTGTGATCTCTGGGCGAGGGTCTCTCCAGAGGGAAGACTGCCTTCGGGGGTCTTTCAGGGGGAGGGTTGGCGAGAGGGGGAGAACAGGGGAATCTGTGGCTATTATGTTGAACTGAATGGTGTTGTAAAATAAAAAAAAAATAAAATAAATAAATAAATAAAAAATTAGTGACATTACTTGATGTAAAACGGCACTTTGCTGTACCTACAACAGAGGCTTTGGACAGAGTTCTGTGGTGTTTGAAGTCTATTTTCTTAGATGTTAGGATAGCTACACCAGCTTGCTTCTTAAGTCTATTTGACTGGAAAGACTGTTGGCTTGCAGCAAATTGCCTTTATTATTTTTAGGTATGTTCCTTGTGTTCCTGGTCCCTCCAACACCTCAATCATGAAGGGGTGTTGGGTTTTGTCAAAGGCTTTTTCAGCATCTAATGAGATGATCATGTGATTTTTTACTTTCAGTTTGTTATATGATGCATTACAATGACAGATTTTTATATGTTGAACCATCCCTGCATCTCTGGGATGAAGCCAACTTGATCATGGTAGTGTGTGTTCTTGGATTCAGTTTGCCAGTATTTATTGAGTATTTTGGCATCAATGTTCATGAGGAAGATGGTTCTGTAATTCTCTTTCTTTGTTGCATCTTTGTGTGGTTTGGGTATCAGGATAATTGTAGCCTCATAGAAAGAGTTTGACAATGTTCCTTCTGTTTCTATTGTGTGGAACAATTGTAGGAGTATTCATATTATCTCTTTTTTGAAATTCTGCACTGAATGCATTTGGCCCTGAGCTTTTTTTTGGTTGGGAGAGTTTTAATGACTGTTTCTATTTCCATAGGAGTTATATGTCTATTTAAATTATTTGTCTGGTCTTGAATTAATTCGGGTGCATGGTACCTAACCAGAAAATTGCACATTTCTTTCAGATTTTTCAATTTTGTGGAGTACAGGTTTTTGAAGTATGACCTGATGTTTCTCTGGATATCCTCAAATCAGTTGTCATGTCTCACTTTCCATTTCCGATTTTGTTAATTTGGACATTCTCTCTCTGCCTTTTAGTTAGTTTGGATAATGGTTTGTCTATCTTGTTGATTTTCTCAGAGAACCAACTCTTCATTTTATTGATTTTTGTACTGTTCTCTTTGTTTCAATTTTATTAATTTCAGCCCTCAATTTGATTATTTCCTGGTATCTACTCTTCCTGGTTGAGTTTGCTTCTTTTTCTTCTAGAGCTTTCATGTGTGCTGTTAAGTCACTAGTGTGAGATTTCTCCAACATCTTTATGTGGGCATTTAGAGCTATGAACTTTCCTCTTACCGCTGCTTTCATAGTGTCCCATAAGTTTGGATAACTTGTGCATTCATTTTCATTGAATTCTAGGAAATCTTTAATTTCTTTCTTTATTTCTTCCTTGACCCAGTGGTGGTTCATTTGAGCACTATTTAGTTTCCATGAGTTTGTTGTCTTTGTGTAATTTGTATTGTTGTTGAATCCTAACTTTAAGCCATGGTGGTCTGATAAAAAAATGAAAGTTATTCTAATTTTTTTGTATGATTTGCTTCGTGACCAAGTATGTGGTTAGTTTTAGAGAAGGTTCGATGGGGGTGCTGAAAAGAAGGTATATTCTCCTGTGTTTGGAAGGAATGTTCTGTAAATGTCTTTTAAGTCCCTTTGAGTCATAATGTCTGTTAGTTCCCTTAATTCTCTGTTAGTTTCTGTCTGGCAGACCTGTCCATTGGTGAGAGTGGGGAGTTGAAATCTCCAGCTATTAGTGTGTGAGGACTGATGTGCAATTTATGGTTTAGTAATGTTTCTTTTACATATGTGGATGCCCTTTTATTTGGGGCATAAATGTTCAGAATTGAGACTTCATCTTGATGGATTTTTCCTGTGATGAATATGTAATGTCCTTCTTGATCTCTTTTGATTAATTTTAATTTGAAGTCTATTTTTTTAGATATTAGGATAGCTACATTAGCTTGCTTCTTAAGTCTATTTGACTGAAAAGACTTCCCAGACCTTTAGTCCGAGGTAGTGTCTCTATTTGAAGTTGAGGTGTGTTTTCTGTATACAGTAGAAGGATGCATCCTGTTTTTATATCCATTCTGTTAACCTGTACTTTTTATAGGCAAATTGAGTCCATTGATAAGAGATATCAATGACCAGTGATTGTTAATTCCTTCCATTTTTTAGTGGTAGTGTTGTGTGTTTCTCTTCTTTGGGATTTGTTGGTGTGGGATTATCTATTGCCTGTGTTTTCATGGATGCATCTAACTTCTTTAGGTTGGATTTTTCCTTCTAGTGCTTTCTGTAGAGCTGGATTTGTGGATAGATATTATTTAAATCTAGTTTTATTGTGGAATACTTTGTTGACTATGGTGATTTAGAGTTTTTTGCTGGGTATAATAGTCTGGGCTGGCATCCATGGTCTCTTAGTGTCTGCAGAATGCCTGGCCAGGCCCTTCTGGCTTTGAAAGATTACCTTGAGATGTCAGGTGTTATTCTGATGGGTCTGCCTTTATATGGTATTTGGCATTTTTTATTGCAACTCTTAATATTTTTTCTTTATTCTGTTTGTCTAGTGGTTTGATTATTATGTGGCAAGGGGACTTTTGGTGGTGGTGGGGGGGTCTAATCTATTTGGTGTTCTGTAAGCTTCTTGTATCTTCTTCGGCATTTCCTTCTTTAGGTTGAGAAAGTTTTCTTCTATGAGTTTGTTGAATATATTCTCTGTGTCTTTGTGCTTGTATTCTTCTCCTTCTTCTCTCCCTGTTATTCTTAGGTTTGATCTTTTCATAGTGTCCCAGATTTCCTAGATGATTTGTGTTTTGACTTTGTTGGCTTTTATATTTTCTTTGACTGAGAAATCTATTTTCTCTATCATATCTTCAATGACAGAGATCTTTCTTCCATTTCTTACATTCTGTTGGTTATGCTTACCATCTGTAGAATTTATTTGCTTACTCAGATTTTCTATATCCAGTATTTCCTTGGGTTATGTCTTCTTTATTGCCTCTATTTCAGTTTTCAAGTTTTGAACTGTTTTCTTTACCCATTTGATTGATTTTTCTTGATTTTCTTTTCTTTCTTTAAAGAATTTATTGATTTCTTCCAATTTCTTGTTTGTCTTTCTCTCAATTTCCAAGGGAATTTTTTGTTTCCTCTTTAAATACCTCTCCTTCTTAAAAATCATTTTTAAGGTCATTTCCTTATGCTTCTTTTATGTTGTCATCTTTAGTTCTTGCTGATGTAGAAACACTAATTTCTACTGGTGCCATATTGCTCTTTATGTTGCTGAATGTATTCTTGCACTGGCTTCTACCTATCTCTTCCTCCAATTGGTGCAAACAGTGTCTGTGTCTCAGGGAGTCTCTCTTGGTCCAATTGACACTCCTGGTCCAATTGGAGCTCTTATTTCAATTTGTGCTCTTGGACCAATCATAGTGGGTGGAGTGTGTATCTCAAAGAGCAGCTGTGGTCTTGGGGCAATGGGTGGGTTTGGGGGATGGTGTGGGGCTTGTAGGTTACTGGGGCCAATGGTGGGTGACATAGTCAGGCCTGCCTGCAGGAGGCCTGCCTGTTGCCCTACAACTGGGGTCACAATGGGTCAGAGTAGGGGGGCCTAAAGCCGAGAGGCTGTGGTGGTCATCTAGGAGAACAAAGACTCACCTCCTCAATCGTTAATTTTTAGTTTTATCTTTTTTTTTTGTAAAAGTAAAATCTGTTTTAATATTTGTAATCATAAAAAATGTAGAATTACTATAACAAAACAAACATTTTGCGTGTAAGCTTGTGCAAAAGATACTCAAATTATTTTTCTCTAATTTTAGGGAGTGGGAAGGTTGACTTAATATACTATTGTTTTGTTGAAAATTTCATACATGAACATGCTGAATTTCAATTAAATCAAATTCGTCTCCCTGCCTTTTTAATACACTTTATAACACATCCCTTTCCTCTGCAAACTCAATGTTTTCTCTCTCTCCCTCTCTCATATTTAAACATACCGAGTCTACTTGTTCTGATCCGATGTTTTTGGGTGTGTGACTATGTTCTGGGGTATAGGTAGCCTTTCAGGGCCTTCATCCATGAAGGAAACAAAGTTCCCCTCTTCGGCAGCCTGTGGTTGTCAATAGCTTCCCAGCTACAGGTGGCACCTCATCAGAAACTTCTTCATCCATGCTGGGATGCTGCTTGGCCTGCTTTTGTGAAGGTTTCATTCATTCCGTTATAGTAGCTCTAAGTTAATTTGTTCAAAAGCCCTGTCATATCCAGCAAATTATTTTTCACTGCAGGCCTCCACTACTTCTGGCCTTTACAAAATTTCCAGAACCCCTCCTCAGTGATCCATGAGCTAGTGGTGTTGGAGGTATGATATAGATACTCTCTTTAGATCTTAGCAGTCCATAGTCTCATATTCTTCTAATATTAACAATGATGTGGATCTCTGTATTCATCACCATGAACCACAAGAGAAGCTTCACTGATGAAGGCAGAGAGTTGATCTATTAAGAAAGATAAAGATTTAGTGGGAAGATTGTTATAATATCCATTTTGTAGAATAATAATAGCAAGTTCTTACTTAGGACCTAGCCAGTTATAAGAGGGTTTGCCCCAGTAAATATTGTCAGTTGTGAGTTCCATTTTGTGAAGTTGATATAAAGCTGGTAATACTGTTGGTGACATTTCTTCCTTGGTATCACAATTTCCAGATTGTGAAAGTTAGCCAGGGATGAAGGGACGTTAGTAGGGATGAAGCTTTCACATCAGTACCAGCTTAATTTTTTCATGTCCTTTGTAGACTGCATACAGTGTTTTCAGTAATAGCTTTTCACCATCAGTTTCTAGAAGGAAAACAAGAACAATGATAATGAGCTGTAATGTTGGGGGTCTGTCAATGGCACTCCATCAATAAACAACTTGAAAAGCTGGTAATCAAGTGTGTGTGTGTGTGTGTGTGTGTGTGTGTGTGTGTGTGTGTGTGTTAGAAAGCTTATATAGTAGTAGATTTCCATAGAGCATTTTTAAAGGTCTTTAGTGTTAGCTATCTTTCTCCATATTCTATTTCCCCATCTCCTCATTTACAACTAATTCTTGCTCCATTGCTTCCCGTTCCTCTTCATAACACTCGTATTTTTATCTCTCTTGTAATCCAACCATAATGGTCCCATAGTATTTTACTGACTTTTATGGGTACTCCAATTTAAATACAGAAGCCCCAAATTTCAAATCCAGCATCCACATATGACAGAGAACATGCACATCTCTCTGAGTGATTTTCTTTCCTACTCCATCCATTCATAAACACAATTTATAATTTATTTTTCTTTATATCTGAATAGCATACCATCCTAAATATATACTATTTTCTTCATATATTCATCACATCCAGACCATTGTTATTTTCTAACTACTAATAATACAGCAGGAATGAACACATATGAACATGTATCTCTAGAGTAAGATGAGTCCTTTGGGAATATGCTCAAGAGTAGTGTCAAAGTATAAAATGATTATGTGGTAAATATTTCTAAATTATTGATGAACCTCTGTATTTATGTCTATAGTAACTCCACCAGTCTGCACTTCCCAGAATCATTTCTAGGAGTACTTATTGTTTATTATCTATTTTGAGAAAAAAAAATTAATTGGACTTTTTAATTACCTGAAGTTCACAATTCAAATGGGTTTAATAATAATTATTAAGTTTGACATATCTAAGCATAACTGCAACACAGCAATACTATTTAAATAATGTTCATTATCAGTATTAAACAGAAGGCCTTGTACATATATATGTTTATTACTGATGACTTCAGGATATAAGGTGCTACAGTTCTAGGCACTAAAGAGTTAGCACTACTGTTCAAGGCACCAGATTCACTTGCCAGGGACCTAACACCCAAGTGGAGTGACTCAGAGTTGACTGTAAATCCACTGACAGCAGATTTATTCACTCTTCTGGTCTCCACAGGAACCAGCACACAATGTGTGCACATATATGCCCATTCACTTGGTGCATGTATGTGTGAGCACACACACACAGAAGAAAGTCTTAAATGGTAGATATTCATTCAATCACAGAGAGAGAGAGAGAGAGAGAGAGAGAGAGAGAGAGAGAGAGAGAGAGAGAGAATTAGAGGTCTCCTTCAAAACCCTCCTACTCAGAGCTCATGGAATCATACAAAAGAGGAGGCAAAAAGATTGTAGGAGTGAGAGGGTACAGAGGATACCAGGAGAACAAGGCATTCCAAATCAGTTAAGCAGGGCTTATATGAGTTCACAGAGACTGAAACAGAAAGCAGAGGGCCTACACCAGTCTGAACCAAGCCCTCTACTTATATATTATATCTATCAGCTTAGTATTTTTGTATGACTCATGTGTATGAGAACAAGTATTGTAGAATATTATTTTAAGATGTGTTATATTTATTTATGCTCTGGAACATTTGTTTATTAATGTGTTGCATTCATTTATGTTTCATTTGTTTAACTCTGTGAAACTGTGTTACTTTGCCTATCTAAAACCCCTGATTTGTCTAATAAAAAGCTGAATAGCTGACAGCTGGGCAGAGAAAGATAGCTTGGGCTGACAAGTAGAGAGAATAAATGGGAGGAGAAATCTGAGAGGATCAAGGAGCAAGAAAATGAGGCAGACCAAGGGACCAGCGATCCAGCTACACAGCCAGGCACAGAGTAAGAAGTAAAGAAATGTATGCAGAAATAGAAAAAGGTAAAAGCCCAGAAGTAAAAGATAGATGAGACACTTTAAGTTAAGAAAGGTTTGCTAGAAATAAGCCAAGCTAAGGCTGGACATTCTTAAGTTAAAAATAAGACTCTGTGTATTTATTTGGGAGCTGAATGGCAGGCCCCTCAAGGAGCCAAAGATCAAAAACAACTACAAACAAGTAGGCCTCTGACTCATGAGCCCATTCTTGGGACTCTTTTCCTTCTATTGGGTTGCTATGTTCAACTTCAGTATGAAAGATTTTGCTCCATCTTATTCTATTTTTTCCTGCCATGCTTTGTTGCTATGTTTTAGAAGCCTGTTCTTTTCTATTGATAAAAAGAAGGGAGTAGATTTGGAGGGGAGAAGAGAGGGGAGGGACTAGGAGGAACAGAATGGGGTGAAACCATAATCTGGATATATTTATGAGAAAAGTGTCTATTTTCAATAAAAGAAAAATTTAATTAAAATATTTTTAAAACTTCATTCATAAACATTGTATTTGTCACTTCACACCCTTCTCTCCCCTACAAGTTCTTCCATGCTCCTGCCCACCCAATGACATTTATTCTTTAATTGTAATTATTGTAACACACTGTAGCATGTACATGCTAGTATGTGTGTGCTTGCATGTGTGAACAACCCACTGAGTTGGTTTAGCTTTGCCTGTATGTGCATGTGCTCAAGGCTGGTGGCTTCAGATTGAATGACCTATATAAGTGCTCCTTCCTGGAGGTATCTGATTCTCCCTCTCTCCATTTACTACTTGAATTTCTTCACAAGGGGTAGAACTGAGAAATTTCACCAACCTAGGTTGGTATGTCAACAGATGTTACAATAGGTTTTGTTCGGGTAACCATATTGTTGAAGGTTTATGGGTGCATTTTCCAAGTCATATCTTTGAAACAATATCCAGCAACAGAAATCCTGGACTTACAGTTCTTAAAATATTTCTATCTCCTTTTGTATGATGTTATCTGAACTTTAGGCAAAATGATTTCATTGAAGATCTATCAGTTGTGATTGAGTGCCTGTGGAAAGTTATTCTCTAAATTTTGTCCAATTTTTTTTAATGATGAATGAGAGCTATACTCACCTGTTGTATCAAGCAGTTAGAGTATGGTCAGAAATTATTTTAGGTAAATGGCAGTTGTAGGGTCTCCTGTAGGGTATAGGTCCTCTCAATCAATAGATATTATCTGCATTTACAATACTGGTCATGAATTCCCTCCCATTGAGCAAACCTTAACTCCAATTAATTAACTTTTGGTAACCTCAAGATAAAAGTTCCACTCATGCATAGTTTGGGATATCTTATTGTTCCAGTCTTGTTGTGGTTTGTAGCTATTGCATCTGTATGAGATCACCAATTTCTACTCTTCCTTGACAGCTCGCATAGCAATTTCTGGTATTCTAGGGAGGAGGTTTTTGGTCAGTTTCAGCTAAGTTCCTGTAAGTCTTGCATCTGAAGTGTCTAGTATCTTTAGCAACAGGGGCTTAGCTTCAAGTTATTGAAGCCCACCAAGGGAAATGTTGTTTGGGAGACACTTGTGCTTCCGTGACAACAACTGGGAGGGTTTCTGATACCTAGTGGTGGGTGTTTTATTAAATGGTGCATGGCTCTGTTTTTATTACCTGATGGAACTGAAGAATCCAAATAATTTACAAAAACTGAATTTGTATTTGCTTTAGTTTTGAGAAAAGGTAAAGATAAATTTAATAATTATCTATATCTTTTAACTTAACATGTGTTTTATTGTTTGTAATTTAGCACTTATGATATAAGTCCATAATGGCACTTTCATACATAAGCATCCTTAGAGTTTGTGCTAACTGTCTCCTTAGCCTAGTTCACATTTCTTGCTGGCCCTCTCTGCCTTCTCACAAAAAAAATATATTCTGCTGCTAGTTGCAATATCCAGGTTTTTTTTTTTTTAATATAACACATTTTACTTTATAGATATGTTCTAAAATTAAGGCTAAAAACCTTGTATCAAAAGACACTTAAAGAAATACAGTCACCCTAAGTCACCAGAATACAATATAGCACCTCTCAGACAGTGCTTTTAAAATGGACTCCTTAAAGGTCATTGTTTAAGAGGCTAATGCAGTCGGATCGAATATTGAAAGTAAATATCAGCAGTTACTTTCCAGAACATGTGGTTTAAAGATTTCTTACACAAGGCAATGCTGTTTTGCAGCTTTACTAGAGCATAAATACAATTTAACACTGGTATCTAAAGCTTAACTTGATTTGTGACTGCTGACAGTGTCTAAGCAAAAGGATTAATGGCAAGTAGGTTCCTCCAGTGGCTAGACTGCTTAGTGCTGACTTAGTGTGCATGTAGTTTTTAAAATTTGCTTTATAAAGAAGATTTTGCTCTATTATGTCTAATATTGCTGGTATCACATTTCAATACCATTAATATCTGAAACACGTTTGCCCTAATCCTGTTTTCCCTTTTGGTCTTATTTGTCAGAGGAATACATGTCTTTGAAATTCTATGACACTACTTTATACTTGTGACCATATATTTCTATAAAATTATACAGAATATTAGAATAACTATTATTTCTATACATAGGGACTCAAGCATTGAAAATGTATTAAAATGTAATTCTTACTAATGGCCTATTGTCATTTGGCAAAGATATGTTTATGTGCTATGTAAATATACAGTTTTACGTGGTTTCAGAGTTCATTTAATAATTATTCCTCAATTAATAGACTGTGACACAGAATAAATATTAATGTATCAATCAGGTCACCAAAGAGAACATTCATTAACTTTGTAACAGATAACTTAATTGTACAAATACCCCAAGCAATGTAATTACTATGTGATTATATTCCCATTTCTTTATGACAAAGTGAACTTATACTTCAAGCTACTGGTGCAAGCAAAATGGAAATGTGAACGAGGCTGTTAATCAGCCACTAAACGCCCTGTTCTGGGGACTGGTTGTGGAGGAACGCTTCCATTCTCTGTGCAGGGTAACAATTTCCTGTTAAATGGCTTTATAAAATTGAGCCCAATAATGAACTCTTTTTTCATTGCCATGAAAATATAAACATTATTTGGAAATTATAAGATGCTCTAGGTTATTCTTTGGTAT